AAATTATGATGCCAAGTGAAAATTAAATGAAAATTGTGGGGTAAAAATTAGAAATGACAATCCTTAATTGTGGCTTTTGTCTTCATATATTATATAGATTCCCCTTAAAAAAAACACATGTTTGTATTACTATTTACAACATAACAAAGAACGGAATTTGTGGATTGAAACATTGTGTAATTCTGTAAAATTATACTATCCAAATCAAACATTAATCCTTCACTTTCATTCTTCCATTATTATAGTTTTCAATAACTATTAATGAGATTTACTTATTTGAATCATTAATTATAATATTACCATTAATATAACCAATTAAAAACTAAAAATCTGAATCAATCATTTATTTTAGTTGGTAAAACAAATCCGGTCATTATGAAAATTATATCTTTCGAATTAATATAAAGAATAATTTATACCTATAAAACATAATAATGTAATAATAAAAAAAATATAAAATTTATAAATTATTCATATATAATTTATTCACATAGATTAAAATATGTGCACAATACCCATTTGTGTGTCAAAACATTATCTATATTTGCAAAACGAAACAAATAACTTAAAAATAAGATAGATCAAACAAAGATTTTACACGAAACAAAGATTATGAATTAATAATACACCAAACATGACAAAAATAAAAGAAAAAGAAAGTAGACGATGATTGAATGTCGAGATAATGTAAGAAAATCGTAATTCTCATTGAAACAGTATCGAGTGAATAAGGATAAAAAATAAATTTTATAATATGGCATTTAATGTAATAGATTCTTTTAAATTGAATTAGTAGACAAACAACAAAATGCATATGCGAAAGACTTTTATTAATTGCTTGCAATAATATATCATCTTAAAACTATTTACTATCAATAATTAGTGCGACAAATAGTTTCACATATTTTTGTAACCTATTAAAAAGAAGGGAAGATAAGCCTAGTAGTAAAACTACCACAATTTCACTATAATAATTTTGCAGTAAAACTTTCCTTGGATCCCATTTCTCTCACTTCTGCATAACCAAAAACATAAAATAATATATCAAATTGTGTTAATAATGCAAATATGTAAATAAAAAAAATCAAAACAAACTACAGAAAACTACATTATAAAATATTCATATCATAAGAAAATATTAAGTAATAAAATAAATAATTGTAAAGAAAAAATGTAAGCAAACCGTGTTAATGAATTATATGGTCGAAGTTGGATTCGTGAAAATAATCTGCAAGAAATACATAAACCATATGACATGTTATTATTTAATTAAATACAAATATAAAATGGAGTTGAAACATATAAAACTATTATGAATACATAAATATATAATACCAACACAAAATAAAAGAAGAGAAATGCACATATTTAAAATAATTCTGACAACATATTTTCAGTATCAGTATTGACTTCAACATATTTATGTTTATATAAAATTAATTATGAATATAAAACTATGCATATATACTTATAATAATTTATAAGAAATGATAAAAAAAAAGTGTAATATGAAACTGTATAATACGAACATTGTGCACTTTGTAATCGAATGGTGGTAGAAAAAAATGAAATGAACATTGAGGGGTTTATATAGTATTGAAAATGAACTTAATTCTATGGAAAAATTAAAAATTCAAAAGATTTATATATTAGTAAATGAAATCAAATCAAACAAATGAAGGAAGCAACCCAAAAAAAAATAATAACTTGTGGAAAAAAATATTGCAATATAAAAACATTAAATATGAAGATACGATTTTTATTTTTTACCATTCAATTTTGAATAAAAGTATAAATTAAATCAATCAAAGATGATATGATGAAATCTTGGAATATTAAAGACTCCTTTATATTGGTGATTTGATATTTTATTTGAAATAATAATTAATAAATATAATGCATAATCCGTTTTATAGTTCGGACCATATTATATATTAAATAGTATTTTCCAAATATACGACCAACTACTGCATTTAGAATTAATCCACCGTGCATTGCATATTTATTAAATAATATAATTATTTTTAATTTGAAATATGGTATAATAAAATTATATAAAAAAATAGTGTATATTTATTAAATACTTCAATTAAAAACTAAAATATTTTTTATTATTATTTTGAATGGAATGGATATTCGAATATTCTAAAATATTGAAAATTAAAAAAAAAAAAACCAACAACAACAACAACAACATATTCCTTTATTTTAATATTTTAGTATTTAAAAAAATATTTTTTTTATGAAAATTATTTGAATATTCGTATAACAATTGAGTTTCATGAATTTATTTGAATAAATATATTTTGAAATACTGAAAAATATAAATAAGATTTTTTTATTTCGAATTTATAAAATATTAACTTTGGAAATAATATATATACATGTGGTAATTATTAAATGATTGTGTAAATGTAAATTAGGAAAAAACTTAAAAACATCCATAAATAAAAATGCCACCTAATCAATTGCAGAATCCACCTAATCAATTGAACTCCAACTAAGCAATTTTGACAAATGACATCATCATTTGCCACATGTCAATTATTGAGGGCATATATCCTCTTTTTATATTATATATAGATTAAGCGTATGTAAAGTACGAGTAAGAATCAAAGTTTATAAGGTATTTGAATTTCGGCTCATTTGAGATGCCCCTGGAGGCCTAGAAAATTAGAGAAAAATTCAAGTCAAAATCATCCTTATGAATGACCCCTTGGAGAAGCAAAAATATTATATTGCTCTTATATAAAAATTTTCCCCTAACAGCATTCGTTATTTTCGCCATCTACATTTAGTATCGTTAGACCTGCATTTAACATTTCTATTTAACATTTCTACTAAACTATTTTTATTTTTTTAATTGAATATGTTTACTGCACTGAAAATAACTACAAATTACTAGGGTTGTTCACGGGTCGGGTCGGTTGAATATCGACCGATTATTGGCCCAACCCGACCAACCGACTATTGCAAAAATGTAAAACCATTATCGGCCCGACTATTGTGAGTTGGGTAACGTTTGGCAACCGACTTTGTCAAACGCCGAAATAGTTCGGTTGCAAATTATCGGCCACGGTAAAATTAAAAAAAGAAAAAATAAAAAAAAGAACGAAAATCAGATTTTTTGCTTAGCCTGATTAAAATTCAGCACCTAACAATTATTAAATTACATGTCCAAAATCAAGTTTCAACACGTATCTCAAATTACAGACTTCGAATTCAATAAACAATACAAAATACAAAAATATCAGAAAATCCAAGAATATCAAAATATCAAATACCAAAATCAAGTTTCACAGTTATACAACTCCCAAGCTAACTTTGATAAGTTGCCCTTTAGAGTGTAGAATGTAGAAGTCAGAAGGTAGATAGAACTAGAGAGGGCCAGGGGTGGAGAGTTGGAGAAAGTAGTGGCCCACCGGTGCTGGCGGTGATGACCTAGCTGTGGCTTGCAAGAGAAACGCTGACGGCAGAGGTGGTGGTTTATGACTTTATGTAGAGTTCTGTCTTTTGGTTCTGATCGATAGAGTTAGAGATTTAAGATTAAGGTTTTTATATTTGCTACTAATTTAGTGAATAGTCACTCCAAAGTCAAAACTTTGAAGGTTAAAATAATATATATTATATATAAAAATAAAAAGTTGGTTGGTCGGGTAATATTGGCCAACCAACTTTTCATCATATTAGAAACTATACCCCACCTAATTAAACATAGGTCAGTTAAAATTATCGGCCCGATCAAAATGAGTCGATTCGTGGACAATTATCGGCAACAAAAGTGGGGACGATAGTGGGTCGATTGTCGGTTAAAACCGACCCACAAACAACCCTACAAATTACTATAGTTAGTTATAGTCATGTTCCTTCCTTTTAACCCAAAAGATTATGGTGAGCGATTATGCACATATACACGAATATCGCCCAAACATGTAGGATCAAATTGCCATCCCAACTTTTGATGGTGCAATTATGTATATTTATGATATCAAGTTGTAAGTTAACCGACCAATTAGTAGCTACTTAATCAATTACCAGCTTGCCACCGCATTGCCATATCACACAAATGCCACAAATTTTAAATATTAAATTGTTTACCAATTCCTACCAAACTTACAATGAATTCAAGATGCATCTATATTTGTTCTTCTTTTTTCCACATACATATCAAATTCTATTAATTAATTCACAATATAATGTTTGTATTTTGCGTGTACATGTTAAATAAAAGGGTACATTACAACCACCCCTGAGGTGTGATCAATTTACGAAAAAACCCCTCTTGTTTGGATAGTTACATCTATCCTTCTTAACTATAATTTTTTCTTACACCTCCACCCCTATGGTGTCAAATTTAACATAATCATCTAGATTTCGTGGAATGTGCTCTAGTATGTACTCGTTTTGTGTAAAAATAAAATTTATGATGCACCACAATCTGATATATGCAAGCCAAAAAATGCATATTATGATCATCTTGCTTCAAAATGTGGAATTCGAATGGAATAAAAAGGGTACAAAAGTAATAATATTCCATATAATCTCGAAGATTCCACTAAATTTGAAACCACAAGGATGGACGTCTAAGAAGATTTATAGTTGAGGGGTGGATATAATTACTCAAACAAGAAGAAGATTTTTGTAATTTGACCATAGTTCAGGGGTGCTTGTAATTTACCATAAATAAAATGATTTAGCCAAATGTTTGTGAAATATAAATAAAATTTGCTAAGTTTGGTGAGGCCCCCTGAAAATGTACCAAGTCCAGGAGACCCCCACATGTCCCGCCCTATAATACCGCACTCTAAATACACACACACCTCAACTCACCATCCAATTGCTAATTAAGGACAACTCCTAATTCTTAATATTTAAACCATCAAATAAAGAAAAACAAAAGGAAAAAAAAAAACTAATTCCTTTCAACACAAACCATCAATTTCACACACACACACACACTCTTTCTATTTCTCTCTCATCCTTCTAAGAAAATTAAACCCACAAAAAAATAAAGAAAAGAAAAGCAAGAGGGCGGTCGCATTACGTTGTTTTCCGGGGTTTCGATCATGTCGACGGGTGCAGCCGGAGACGGGCTACTCCGGGGAATGTTCGAAGGCTGCATCTCGGGCGGCGATATGGGCGTCCAGCGACGCCCGTATCACAAGAACTGCAAGTGCGCCATGCACAAGGCCCGCGGCCACTGCGCGCACTCCTCTTCTCGGTACGCCAACGTTTCTTACCCTATCCGGAGGTCGTGGAGCGAGGGCTCTCTCGCGTTGATGAATGCTTCCCCGGCCGCCGGATCTACGCCGCCGTCGCCGTCCTCCCCGGTGGTGGCGGCGGGAGAGATCAGCAGGACGCAGACGCAGTTGGTTTTGTTCCGAGAAGAGGATGAAGAGGGTGACGGTGACGATGATGATCATCAGGTTGTTGAGTTTTCTTCTTCTAAAATTTGATTTTTTTTAATTCATTTTGGATTAATTTTATTAAATGTTGTAATGGGTCTAATTTTCTAGTTCTTTTTTTTTAATTAATTATTATATGGGGTGATACCATAATAGTAAAGAATTTTTGGGTGTTAAATGATAAAAAATGATCAATATTGTGGTTTGTTTGGCGGGTCTTGATTTTTGATACATGCACAGCACAACGTCTGTGCACGTATTTTCGTTCCTGTATTTCTTTTTCTTCTTTTAGCATTATTTTTTTATTATTATTATTAATATATACAATAACAGCTGATTTTTAATTCTTATACGTTGTCATCCTCACATATTCTTTTTGCTTTTTCGTTCTGTCTTTCTTTTGGGTTTCATTTAATTTGCTGTGTTGATTATGTAATTAATCCTAACATAATATATTTATTAATTAATTAATTAAAAAATAATAATAATAAAGGGGTGAATTGTTTCTAGTCATGTTTTTAGTTTTGATTGAGTTTAGTGGGATTCAATGTATTTGATTATCTGGCATCACATTTTTCCAGCTATTTGGGGATCGATCAGTCATTTGTGTAAAGTTGTTGCATATAGCAACTTTATTGAAATTAATGCCTAAGTCTACAATATAATCACTATTCAACCACATTTTGTTGCTCCCACCACAATCTTTTCAAATCAATAAATATCTAAGTTATATGGATGTCTTAGCTAGTGCAAGGAGACAAGGTGGGTCCCACAATTCGAGTTCGATTCCTCGTGCCAACGTTTTTCAAGTCGAACTTCTAGTATAAAGTTTACCCAGTACAATTTATTGCGGAATTTACCTAATGCACGTTTATGATTGCGGGTGCCTTTTCCAACTAAAAAAAATGTAAGTTAGGAAAACAATAGTAGAATCTCAAGAAATTAATACCTGATAAATCAATAATCTCGCTTCAATAATAATTTTTCTCGGTCTGGACTCGGGGACAATGTGTTAAATTAATAATTCGATAAGTTTATAAGATAATGCCTATTTTAAAATTCCTATAGACCCCATCTAATATATAAATTAATAATGCCTACATATAATTCAAATACACGTTGCATTTTAATTTATAGACTCAACAAAATAGGATTCAATTTTCATTTATTTCTTGTTGAAGTTGAAAATATCACATATTCAATCTTTTTTTTTTTGTTTGACAACATCACATATTCAATCACATCCCCCATTTCTCTTAATACGATAAGAACGTTTTGTGTACTTTTGTCATAACTCAAAAAAAATGATATTTAATAACATTGCTACTTTAAGAGCTTAATGCTCGAGAAACGAGTTTTGGTACTTAATTATTCAATTATTTGTTCGCCACTCAACAATTTTGAAGTTACAATATTTTTTTTAGGGTGGTTCTAGAGATATTCAAGATTCACTCAAAAGTCGATTGACAGACAATTACCCGACTAACCAACTTATTTAATATTCAAGATTCACTCAAAACATATTATAAATATTTAATGGTATTAATCTAGTAAAATTATGATAATAAAATGTTAGGGGAAAAACAAAAATTTAAACTTAAAATAATAGATAAAAGACAGTCAAAACTCAAGATACAAATTTATAAACCTCTAAGTACGTACTATTTATTTTATAATTCCCATTTCCAATTAGTTTTTATATATTTAATTCTTGTACAAATTTAGTATATTTTAAAGTTCGGTTGTTTGCAGCATAAGTTTTCCCAAAATTTTGAATATCGTTTCAAAAACTTTCTAAAAAGTTGATTGAATAATATTATTGTTGTAAATAAACTAAAACAAATAATAATTAAATGTCCGATAATACGAACCAATCAATAAATTTTTTACCTGACAAAGTTGGTTGCCAACCATTATTTGATCCACAATAGTCAGGCCGGTAATGATTTTCAGTATTCAAAACAATCAGTTGGTGGTAATGCCAATCATTATTCGATCCACAATAGTCAGGCCGGTAATGATTTTCAGTATTCAAAACAATCCGTTGGTGGAATCTACTGACGGAGCCAGTATAGAGCCAGAGAGGGCCATGGCCCCCCGAAAATTCTCGAATCCTCATTTTTTTTATGTAAATATTTAAAAAACATCATGGATAATTAGCATTATCGACCTTTCCTCATAAAACTTTTAATCTATTCACCCACCGCAAACTTAAATTTTTAGCTCCACTAGTGGTCAGGTCGGATAAATAATTGTCTAATAACTACCGGACCCATGCCCAACCCTACTTGCGAGTATAGAGTTGATTTGTGTGTTGATTAATTTAAAATACAAAGTAAGAACAGTACTGCTTTTCCAAAGTCAAACTATCAAATATAAGGCAGTATAGTGGATCATAAAAGACCCGTGGTGGATCATGATAATTGAACTGCTGAAAATCTGCCAAAATTGTGGACCCAATTGCAATTACATCACAAGTTGTTTATTATTAGGTTTTTCAAATTTGAACAACCAACCATTTTATTTAATTCTTTTATTTTTCCTACCTGATGACGGTTGAGACCCCTCTCATAAATGTGTACATATATAGATTGTTCTTTAGTATAATACTCGAAATATTTAAAATAGGTGGCGGAGGGATTTAAACTGAATACCTTTCATTTGGCATGATTTTGTTATCATATTTGAATGATCATTTTAACTAAAAATTTAAGCTATTAATAAAATATAGTATTTAATATTAATATCTCAAATAATTTTTATCCAATTTTCTGAACCTCTTGGCTATGTCATGAACTACAAGTTGTTCTCAATTTTTTTAAATCATTAATTTCAATTCTTTTTATAATTTGATATATGTGCATATTTATTTATTTATTTATATATATATATATATATATATATATGATTTAGATTATTTGTGTTTAATTCTGTTTTGTCTTTCTTAGATTTCGATTTATTGTTGATTAAGTAATTATTTTCTGATAAATTGTTCAAGTAATGAATTAGTTGACCTAAAATTAAAGAAAATTGAGTTACATTTTGTTCGGACAAAATGGGCTCCTTCGACTCTACACCCGGTGATAAACACTGGGTGGGTCTTCTGTTGGCACATTTTTTTTTTCTAAAACCTCTAAAGATAAACTCAAGCGATAATTGAAATATATTATAAAAGTAAAAAAAAAATGACATGTGGTATCAGAAGACTCACCCGATATTTATCACCGGGTGTAGGGTCGAACAATTCGATAAAATGCTAGACGAGGCGAAGTTTATTGAGTGAATTTACCTGTAAAATATAGGAATAATTCTGTTGTACCTTCTTTGATGATAGTATGGATTTGTTTGTTCTAATATAATATAAGATACCTTCACAGGTATATTATATTTCCTAATATAATAAAGTAATTCAATATTATAAATAATAAAGGTTTGTAGTCGTTTTATTGAGTTCAATGATTAATTCAATGTTTAATTATGATTCTCTATCATAACAGTTTTCCAGCTATATATCAGCCTAAACCACTACGTACAGATAAGATCATGTAATGCAAACTAGTTTGAATTTTTTTTTTTTTTAATTATATATATTTAAAAAAATATGTTATCAATTTGCTTGTCATGAATTGAATTTAGCTTAAACAAGAATTAATCAAGTTAAATGCAAACCATGTTCGACCACTAATATAATCTTTTATACATATCATTTTTTTTTGGTTAAGGGAGTCGAATTCAATTCAAGTTTGTTAACTTATAAAAATATATTTCAGCGACAAACTTGAGTCGATTCTGGCAGTTCTATTAGCTTACCGGCTTGCCTACGACCTCTTATATCTATCTCGAATCCAAGACATCTTTTACGGGTTTTTTTTCGCCGCAGAAAGAAGAAATGGAGGGAAAACTGATGAGCAAACGACCCTAATCGGAGTGTTTGGCGCATTTAAGTTAGAAGGGGTACATGTATCTCAAACCACCGCTAAGTTGGTTATTTATGACTAGATTTGAGCGAACCTTCAGGGACTTAGTGATGGGTGGCCGGATCTAGTCATGAATGGTCGAAGAATTGCCGTATTCGGTCATGGGTGATCGAATAGCGGTGGTCAATTGCAGCATTAGAAGAATAAAGAATGGAAAAATATAGAGTATAAGCAAAAGAAATATAGTAAAAAGTGGTGTGAGATTGATAAAATTGGAAATAATAGGTGGACTGTGGAAGATTAAAAATGTGGGTCTTTACACATAAGCCCATCAATGGGTACTTATTCATAAAGAGATCCAAGCAATAAACTTCTTTACAAATAAGTCCACACATGGTTCACATTTTTGTAAAACACTAAAGTAGCCCCTCATACTTTAATATGCTCCAATTTCATCATTTAGTTTAATTGAACCTCAATTTGACCCCAAATTTCACAAATTATTCAATTTTGACTCAAACCACATTTTTATGGACAATTTCGTCCATCACCGCCGTTGACCGCCTGTCTCTGGCGTTGACTTTATTTATTATTATTTTTTTCTTTTTGTAACATTTTTTTTCGTTTAAACAACAATATTGCTGTGATTGACAGTAATATTAACTATATTACTGTTAAACACAGTAAAATTAACTATACAACAGTTTAACACAGTAATATTGTTATATTAATATCTAGCACAGTAATATTAACATAACAAAACTCATTATTATTGTGTAATAGAGTAATATTACTATGTTGACCGTTCAACAAATGTAAACATAATAAAAAGTCAAAAGAATTAATATTACTGTGAGTGAGTAATATTACTATAACAACAGTAATATTACAATAATAGACAGTAATATTATCACGTTACTCCGTGAATAACTCAAAAAAACAAAAAAAACGCAAACAAAAAAATAATATCGATGTGGTTGCATATTAAAATTAATAAAATAATGACATATTAAAAAAAAAAACCCGATTAAACCAATTCGACCCTATAAAACCATGACCCAAATGGTCGTCCGGTTCCAATAGCCGGTTCGGTTCTAACAACATTATATTGGATATATATATGGGGTCATTAGCAATAAACCCCTCATATAGATAATAAATGGTGATATGTCCACCCCTTCAATCTTTCTTTGTGATAGCCCCCTAGAATTTGTATTCCCAATTGTACTCTTATGTCAATTAGGATAATTAGTCTCAATTATTCATTTTTTCTCTCTTTCCATAACAATAATCTAATTCCTAAAAATCTCCTTCTAAATTCCTAAAAATCTCCTTCCAAATTCCTAAAAATTTGCTACCAAATCAAAAAAAATATTTTTTTTTTAATTTTTTTTATTTTTTATTATTTTCGGATTTTTTAGCCATTTTTCATT